GCTGAACCAATTTAGAAGATGAAGGATCATATTATTTAGATGAAGTAGATACTATACCCATGCAACGAATATGCTTTTTCTCTTTAGTTCTTTAACTTTTGAATAAACATTATCTTTCTATGAACTCTCTTCAGAATTTTGAGTATTAGTTTCGTTCAAACCTTATTTTATGAGTTTCTAAAATTGTAAACAAACATTTTAGCATAAAGAAACTAAACATAAGTAAGAGCAAGTAATAACTAAATTAAATACCATAATTATAGTTGTTTTGTCATTCACAACACTTTCATCTTTACATGTATGAGAAAGAATATACACCTCTATTAGATTCTTGTTTTTATAAATGTACAATATTAATTATTGGAATGACAAAACCATACAAATAAAAAGTTAATTTCATATTCATATAACTGAGTGTGATAAGAAAAATTATTATATGTACCAAGGTTTGAATGATCATTGAGAATGATTTTGTTCCTATGTAATAAGGCTCATCTAATTTTAAACAAATTGTTTTGTTTGTCTCACTTTGTTCCTTTAAACAAATGAATAAAAAAATATATATTATAATAACTTTGTAATTATTATCATAATGTTAAAACAAAGTAAATAGTATATTTTGTAAACATTTACCTTCACTTTATTAGTCAATCAATGTGCAACAAAAAATAGGAATTGACTTTTGTCTACTTGAGAATCATCAACCTTTGCAGCCATTTCCTCTAATGTCTTGTGTTCATCATAAAATTTAGGCTTCAATTTGTTTTCCATTACCTCCACTTAGCACCCATGTTTCTTAATGCCTAAGACTTTATTTTTTGAAATATTTCTTCATCAACGAGCATATCAAAATCAGATTTGTGAAATTTAAACTTCAACTACAATTTGAAAGAGGTAATTGGAAAGAAAATGCTAATATATATTATATGAATTGCTACTATTAACTAGAAACTAAAAGATTATTATCATGGCATTAGTTAGCAACTAAAATATTATTGTATTGATACCTCTAATGTTTTTCACATTTCATCTTTCTTATCATTCGACATTTTATGCTAATTTATATAATTAATTGGTGCAAAGCTAGGCATTTTCACCATACTACCAATGAATTGAGTTAAAGAGCAAGATTCATCATCGATAGGTATAGCATCATTATTGACCTTAACAACAACATGCTCCCCTTCTTTCAAATGCCAAATATCAGCCATACGTGTAGGACCTTGAGCTTTTTTATGTTGAACATTTCTTACATAAAAAAATTACATATAAAGTAAGCAATTAAATTCATTAAAAAATATAATTATACAACATTATAACATATAAAGAATTGTACTGACAGAATATAGTGTTTTTATACCTGAATTATATTCAACTTTTTCATCTTGATCTTCATTATTTATAGATTAAAAAATTAGTTCTTGAGATTCTTGTAAACACTCATGTTGTGAAGCTTCTGAATCTACAGGCACATATTGTTCTTCGGATTGTGCTTACAATTGAGAACTAGAGGCACGATTTACCTTAGTGATATTGAATCATCTACACTTTGCCATCTTAAGTCTAATAATACACAAAATATACTAAGTACAATATAAAAGAGAACTTAATAGTGGTAAAACATGTAAAGCATCAAGTACAATTTAATATATTACATGATCATACGAAATTAACTAATTCAAGCTAGTAACATAAAAGCAAAATAATAGTGGACTATGTCTTACATTGCAAAACCTTAACAACAATTTAAACTATTACATAAAATTAAAAAATGTCTTTCCTATTATGTTCATCTATAGGATCTTCTTCTACGTGCTCATTTTTCATTTCTGGTGTAACCTTCATTCCTTCATCATCAATTTCACTTCTAACCCAATTTGAATACTATGTGTGTCATCAAATTCAACATGGATTTTTTCATTCTCTTACTCTTTATATAAGGATGATTCATCACCCATATCAAATATATCTTTATGTTTTGCATGCCTGACAAGAACCCAACCATTATGTCTTCCATCCTTAACATAAAAAACTTTCTTAGCTTGTGATGCCAAGATAAAAGGATCATGAACCAAACTAGTTTCACTAAGAGCTAGACATGAAAAATTCATAAGAGTGAAACCAAATTTATCTTTTTTGTAACCTCTATTTATATCAATCCAATTACATTTAAATATTGCAACTTTCAATCTACTAGTATAATTCAACTGAATGATGTCTTTTAAAATCCCATAATAGTTAACTTCCTCCTCAATAGGTTATGCATCTCTTGTACTTGCATAACTTATCATCTTGGTTGTTACAACAATCCCACTATTTTGAGCTTTCAAGTATCTCTTACGTGCCTTGGTACGAAATCTAAAATCATTAACAATATAACCAATATATTTTTTAATAGTATAAGTTGGACTATGAGCAAGTCATCTAAGTTGATCTATGATGTTTGCATCTCATTGTTGATCCAAATTGGTAATCTATCCAATTTCATATTTGGTTAAAATAATAATCTAACTATAAAAACTTTAATTATGTATTCCAACCATAATGTGTTACTTACATGATCACGAAACCAATCATGAAAAGTTTTATTTTGCAACTTTTGTATCTCATATGACACAAGTTGAGGAAATCGATTACGCTTCTTAATAAATTGTTCATTTTTTTTTCTAAAAAAACACCTGGAATATTCCTTTACAAAAAAATTAAAAGCATTTTTTTGGTAAAATGCCTTGTGATCATTTTAAAAATTCATTTCCCTTTCTTGAACTTTGAAATCCCAAACTACTAATACAGTGAACGATAAATATTATTTTATAAAAAAAACTTTTACAAATGACATAGAAAAATATTTATATGAATATAAATACTACTATAGAGATTATTTATAATTCGACTTTTGATCTAGAATAATTTTAAAATTTTATGAAACCATATTAAAATTGAAATATTAATTGAAACCAAATTAATATAATATTTAAATTTTAAAAAAATTTTGTATAATATTTAATTATAAATTTATTAATTAATATAATACTTACAAATTTTATTTAAAATTTATTATCATTTAAAATTAATTAAGTTACAAATTTTATTTATCAATAATTATAATTTTTATCAAATTATAGTTTTTAAAAAATTTTATTAGAGAAAAATATTATGATTAATTTTTTTTTAAAAAAATAGGAATAAATATTTTTTTGAGCTCATACCGATGGTTATTATAACTATCAGGATATAACATATTTATATGCCATCAGAAAGTTTACTTATACCGATAAATTTATAAAGTATTGGTATAGGCACTGTCTATACTGACAATAACAAAAAATCGATCAATATAGATATTTTTTACTTACATAATTTGATATTAGTATAGATAAGTGTCAATATATAGCATACTTATACTGACGGATAGTTATATACCATCAAAAAAGTTTATCTATATTAATAATTATATAAAGTATTGATAAAAGTATAGTATATTTTCATGGTATTAAAAAATCATCAGTAAATTTTTTTTTTATTAATGCAATTTGACTGTTATTATAATCACGTGTCAGTATATAAAAATTTTTTTATAATAGTTGCATGTTCAACTATGTTAGAAAAATACAAAATTATGAAAATTCTATTACTTGGATTCAATTACTACGTTGGCCAAAAAAAAAAAATCAACTACCATGTGCTTATTAAAATAATTTACTAGCTTATTTACTTCAGGGGTACTGTACCGACTACTGGATATGAATCACACTGTCTTGACCCATTGGAAAGGGTGCATGGAATCAAAGCTTGTATTGTGTCGTTCCTTGGTAGTTAGAATTATTATTTTTATTATTATATTTGTCATTCTCGACTGCCATTACTCCACTTTCCTCTCTGCTTCCGAAAGGTATTTCAAAAGAGGACTGGGTCAATGAGGTATAGTTACCGCCACGTGTCAGTAAAGCGCGTTTCGAATAGAAACAATCGTATTCATTACGATTGATGTTTCAGTGGCAATATATATAAAGTGTAAATCATTGTCATTTTGCATAAGAAATTAAAGTAATTGACTCCAATTTCCTCCTCAACCTATTTGATTGCGATATTTCATTAAATAATAATCTTAAAACATCTTTCAGAATAGTAGTTAATTAAATTTTAAAATATTAATTTTGAAGATATTGCATTTTTATTCATTAATGCCCCAAATATTTCATATGCATGCATGTTACGAAGTAGTACTAATAAATGTTGTAAATTATTAATATATGATAAAGAATTCAGGTTTTTCGGCAAAGAAAAGAGGGAATTCAAGTTTGTAAAAAAAAAATGAATAAACGTTTATCAAACGAAAAAAGAAAAGTATAACGTTTATCAAACGGAGCTTTGATATTTAAAATGATAAATTAATACTCAAATAATGTAAGTAAATAAAACTGATTTGTGTTGAAAATATTAAAGCTTGTGAATATAGGATCATCCTTTTTTAGTAAAAGATCACCTTAGTTATCTCTTCTTATTTAGAGGAAAAATTAGGACTTTATTTAATTGGTACTTTGCTTTTTTTTTTCGAAAAAATGAACGCAAACTCAAAAAAAATTTTTTTTTTTTTGTTAAAAACAAGTATGGAATCTAAGTACAAGAAAAAAAAAACGCCTTTCATATATAACTGCCACCATGCAACAGTATCAATCTTTTTCCATATCTTTTGGATCATTAGTCATAGATTAAATTCTGAATTGTTTAACTACTTAAAAACTACACACCTACCATGAAAAAGCCATTAAAATTTTAAATATATTTTTAAAAAATCAGAATTTTAAAAATAGAGGAAATTTGGATATGATTGCATCATTCAAAACCTAAAAATTGTGCCACATGCACGCATGACAGCCTCTTCCCACTAACGTAGCTGCTCGGAAGCTCACTTCAACATTAATATTCAGTCCCCACCATTCCCCATCTCTATAAAATCCATTCAAACACTCACTCGTTTCTGTATTAGTTAAATTCTGCTCCTTACACCCCAAATCCATTTGGACAATAAGCCACAGTTCTTTCTTCTCTTATTTGAATCTTTTTTTCTTGTTCCAACAAGTTAAGAAAAGCCTACAGAATGGAACATGAAGTTGATCACCATGCAACAGGAGTCAGTCCATCAAATTACAGAGGTGTACGGCAAAGGAAATGGGGGAAATGGGTGTCTGAAATTCGCGAGCCAGGGAAGAAGACCCGAATATGGCTAGGAAGCTACGAGACAGCTGAAATGGCAGCTGCAGCCTATGATGTGGCGGCATTACACTTCCGAGGACGAGCTGCTCGACTTAACTTTCCGGAGTTGGTTGACAGCCTTCCCCGTCCGGCTAGTTCAAGTGCTGAAGACGTGCAAATGGCAGCTCAAGAGGCAGCATTGAAGCTTAGAAGACCAAAGATAAGTTCGGAGGTGGGTGCAGAGCTAGCTGGTGGTGGGAGCCTTGGTCCTATTAGAGTTGGACTGTCACAGAGCCAAATACAGGCTATCAATGAGTTTCCGCTGGATTCTCCAAAGATGTGGATGGAATTGGCAGGTGCTCTGTTGTTGGCAGAGCCAATGCTCTACGGAGTTGATGATGCTGAGTTGATGAGTGAATATGAAGAAATGCAGGTTGAGCCCATTTGGGATTAGGCAGTAGGTATATACTTCTTTTAACTGCCCAGTCCCAACTTGCAACTTGCCCACTACCACCAGATACATTATTTAAATTATATATTGATAATTATTAATCAATAATTCCACATGTAATTAACCCTTAAAATGGTTGGAGGCTTTGTTCGTCATGGGTTGATTATATCCATATATATATTAATTATTTAACTAAATTGTTTTGTCGGAAGAGTAGGATAATAATAAAATAAATAAATAAACAAAACTTCTGCATTACATTCTCTTTGTAGCTTTCTTCTCTTTTTAATTTGGAACGTGAATCTCTACGAGATATTAGATCTTCCCCAATGCACCGAAAGATTCGGTTTCCCTTTGTTCATTATATACTCAATGGTACGAGTTATGGGGTTTCCATTTTTCTTCTCTTTATTTTGCCTACTCTTGTTCACTGAAGCTGCGACGAGAGGCTTTATGCTAACATTAGTGAATTGTTAATAGAATGTTAAGTTTTTAATTTGACTTATTAAGTTTCAATTCCTAATAATCTTTTAGATAAGGAAGTAATAGTTTAAAAACACAAAAAAAAATTATAAATGTTGAAATTTAAATCTCAGATCTATTTATATAAATCAACTACATTAATTGTTATATTCAATCTCTAACAATTTTAAACATTAAAAAATTTACATTTTTATTCTCTGGTATTTTATTAGCCTAACTACTTGGTGGATGAAAAGAAAACATCTTGAATACGAAAATTTTCTAAGCCTTACGTGCCTAATAATCTCCGAATGCCACTAAACTGAACTTATAATCTCCGCTGCACAGGAGGTAATCCACCACAGCGGTTTTATTTCTTTTATCATTTTTACTATTTAAATAATTGAAATGTAAATGTCAGTTACATAAATATTTTGATTATTTATCTTCAGCTTCTTGCTCTAATTGTTAAGAAGTCTTAAAAACGCATATCAGGTGGGGGTTGAAACCCCACCATCCCTATCCCATCCCTTATCTTGTGAATAAAAAAATATTTTTTGATTATTTTTTTAAATTTAAAACTTGCTAATAAATTGGAAAATGCAATGTATTGTTGCAATAATTTCAAATTAAAATTTAATTAATGTCAAACTAACATAATAGTTTTACAAATGAATTACATAAATAATATAATAAAAAAAATTTTCTTTCGTTTTCTTTCAATTTTTTTTCATTCTACCAAATTGCAGTTGGAAAGTTAAATTTTACCATCAGTGAATATTAGATGTAGTCATTTTTTAAAATTAACTTAACCAGAACAGATGATTAATCACTGAGATTGTTGTGGTCAAAAGGCGACTTTACAAAATGTGATGGAACAAGACCCCATTAATTGGTGTCTTTTAGGAAGAAAAATTTTCCTTCATTATTCAAAAGTCGTAAATTAAGTGGCTATAAGTTACTCTGACGTGGATTGATCGCACAGGTAGCTGCAAGTCAGGTGACATGCTATTATTTGTGATTGCAGAATCTGATATGCTAACCAACTCTCTTTTTGTCAATGTTTCCAGTGAAAAAAAGACCCTTCCATTAGTCAAAGCTTACCATTGTGGTCATATTGCCTCTAATTTTACGTATAGAAACTTATTCAATTGCTTCAAAAAGAAATTCATCTCGCATATAAAAAGCTATGAAATTAAATATTGATTGAAATGGCTGGTAATTTAGAATAGTAGTGGATTTTTATTACACATTACAAAAAAAAAAGTTTTTTAATCATTGTAAATTAAATATGATTTAATTTCATAAATATATTTTGTGATTAAAATCGAAATGAAAATACCTTTTAGGTTTAAAACGTAACATTAATTACTTTATGATATGTTTTATTATTTTTTATCTAAAATCTTTACTTTTTTTTTTTCTGCTTTATCTAAATTCATACTCACTTTTTAAAGCAAAACCAATTCTCACTTTAAACTTATATCAATCCACAAATTATTAAAATCTCTACACTACCATCACGTTACAAGTTCACATCACCACCAAACTACATGGTTACCACCAAATCCAATAATAACCTATTAGCCTCACTATTACCTTCACCATTACCAAAGCCGTTAAAACCAATAATTCACCTAAAAAATCAAACAAAATCATCCAAATAACTTACAAATAGAAAACAAAAAAAAGGCAATCAAATCAAAGATCTTTGATTTTCGTGGGTATTGAAAAGAGGAGACAAACACCAAAAAAAAAAAAAAAGGAACAACGGGAAGCTGGAAAGGGTATTTCATGGGTTTGTTGGTGTGTAGGTGTCAACATACGATGATGAAGTAATAGTGATGGTGCGGTTTATTGGATTCTAAGAATTGAGCATTGATTGATGAATTTATTCTTGAAAAAGAATATTTAGAGAAAGAGAAAGGATCTAATGGTTTTAGAGAGAGAGAGAGAGATTGAGTTAAGGATGAAATCTAGTGGTGATGCGTACTTGTAATGATATTAGTGGTGTGAAGGTTCTAGTGATTTAAAAGTTGTAATTTGTGGATTGGTTTGAGTCTAGAGATAGAATTTGTTTGAATTTAGAGAGAGAAAATAAATTTTTAGAAAGAAAGAGTATAAATTTAAATGAAAAAAATGAAAAAAATTAAAAATAATGAAAGAGTAATAGTTTTGGATAAAACAAACAATAAAACAAATATTAAAATAATTAAATGTCACGTTTTAAATCTCATTGGGCATTTTCATTTCGTTCTTAATCACAAGATATATTTCTTACGGTAACCCATTGAATAATTATCAAGATTATTTCTAATTAGCTTACAAAAATTAAAATATAAATTACAAAAAGTTATATTTGTTAATGTAAGTAATTGATTTATGTTAATCACTACTATGTTATGTTTAAGTTTATATTACATTTTTTTATCAAGAGTTTTCTCATAAAAAATACGTGCTTTCATATATAAAGAATTTTTATAAATTTATTTTCACTATTTTACTGGAAGTATTTTGGTGTTTTGCTATATCACATGGGTATTAAGTTTTAGGAAAAGTATTCTAAACTTCGCAAAATCATCATAACTTTTTAACTTTATTTTCTTTTTTTTTTCAATTTTTAATTTTCAAAAAGAAATTGATGATAAATTGGCCAAAAAAATTAATTTAAAGAAAATTCAAGTTGCATATCAAAGCATTGAAGTTGAATATAGTCAAACGTCAAATTTCTAATATCTCTTGGATCATAAATGATTTTGCAGATGGACTTGCAAAATCTAAAATGCATAAAACATAGAATCTTTTAATTTTTTAACAACGGATCTCGTGGCTATGAATGTGTTGGTTGTATTTCATCTAGACAAGCTTTATTTAGTAGCTCTCATTCCTAATGAATACACTAACTTGTAAAATGAACTCGCTAAATTTGAACCCAAATCTAAATTAAAAGAATGAAAATTTTGTACCCAAAATTATTTGAATCTAATGATTGAAACCCTAAATTATATGAATAATGATCCAAATCAATGACTAATCAAATTCAATCCACAATAACCAAAATTTAATACTAAAAATTAAAATTAACAACTTTTCTATTAAAAATTTTATTACCAATTTTAATCTAATATCGGATCCAAACCCAATTTAAATTTGAAAAAACTTGATATAAAAATGATTTGAATCGAAACAAGTTAAATTCTAAACATAATAAATTTAGAATGATTTAAACTTAAAAGTTGAACATAATATAATGGAGAAATTACCCAAACACCATTTATCACCACCATCCTGTTTGTTTTCTAACTTATTTCCATAAAGGAAATTAAAAAAAAAAAAAAAAAGGTCTAAAGTTACATGAAGTAGGATTTATGATGTGCCGCCCAAATCTAAAATGGCCCAACAAAGCAAGACTGTAGAGTGAGATAATAGTTAGTTCATGCGAGCTTCCTTGAACGAAGACTTACCAAACGAGGGCACTTGAAAAGGCTAGGCGCGCACTTTTTCCTTAGGCATGTCCTATGCGAAATGGTTTGTCTGTCAAACTGTTTCAGAGCTTTATAGAGTTGATGATTGTCCCCTCGTTTTCTTGGGTCAAAGACGGATCTTGAACGCTTTACAAAATTGTGGAGGAGAAAATTCATCAAAAGCGTATTAAAGTTACCCTATTTATCTTTAAAAAAAGAAAAATTTACCCTATTTGTGGAGCCCACATACCTTTGATTGAAGCTAGGCCAACTTGATATGAACTTTGGCAATTGGATCTGTTGGGTTATTACGGTTGATGTTGGGTTTTGAATTTGGATTAGCGGGCTTCGGGTCCAAATATATTTGAATTGATTAAGAGGTTGGAGTTACTCCATAATATAAATATAAATATATATATATATATATATAAGTAGACATCTACTGATTTTAACGTAATTTTTCTTATTTTAATGTAATTTTTGTAATCTTTTAAACTCTTGGATCAAAATTAGTAAATTTAAAAATATTATTTTAATTCATATAACTATGGGTTAAGTTTGATCCAATGATTCAAAAAAATATATTATACTAATATAATTGAAATCATATATATATATATATATATATGAAGCGTTGCTATACCGAACGTATTCTCTTCCAACAATCATAAAATTTCAACTAGGGTCCATTTAAAATATGAGTTCTTGAATCAAAATTATAAGCCAAATAAGTTCCACCATCTGCACACTTATTACCTTGTTGTAGGGTATGTCGAATTTCTCAAATCCAACATTCCTGCATGATTTGCATGCAATCTTGCACTAATATGAACTAATATGAAACAAGGATGAGAACCATAGCTGCATCAATTCAACTATAAGAGATTGGATATTCAAAGGTCACGCTAGCATCAAACCTTCTCTTACTCCCCGACGCTCCCCAAACTTCTTCAACACCAAACATACATTTACAGCAGTATCTTGTCACTATTGAAAGAATAATTTATTCGTACTCTTTCAAACATTTAGAGCAAGCATAAAATGAAAACAAAAAATATATATTTAGTTTGTCTCAACCCAAAATGATCTCATTTGACTCCAATTCACTAATAAAATAAATTTTTATAATTATTAAACTTAATAAATCTTTACAACTATTAAACTTTTAAAACAAGAAAAATCACAAAAATTTATTACTCAGATTTAATTCCAAAATCTAATTACACTTTTTTTATAATCGATTTATTTAACTATTTTTTGAAGTCAATTATTTGAGATTATACAATTACAAAGAAAATAGGGTGAAGTCCCTAACCACTCTTCTAAATTGTTTTACGTGAAATATAATACAAATTTCCAACACTTATAATTTCATTGAAATTCCCATATTAGATTAAAAGATTTAACGCAAATTCTCAACAAATTCTTTTATAAACCCCAAAGAGTCAAAATAATAGACAACTTCCGCTAAAATGTTTCCACACCAATTGCATTACTAAGATATAAGTAAATAACCAATCCTTGAAAAGGGAGCAAACAAATTCAGCTGTAAGTGTCTCATTCCTTCACCACCAATACCAAACCTCGCGAGTAAAAGAACAG